GTTCAAACTTCTCTTTTTTTTTTTAAGTGGCTCCTTATCTGGGCGATTTATCCCACCCCTCCCCACCTATGTTGTTGCGCCCTCTGGTCTTCTCTATCTCCCTCCGGGTACCCCCTGCGGCGGCATTGGTGAGTTGCCATGTCAGCAGGCCACGTCAGCAGGACACGGCAGCAGTGCCATGTCAGCAACCAGTCACCGCAGCAGCAGGTCACGTCAGTGCATGGTGCTCACCCACTCAAAGACAAGCGGCATGGATCAGCAGCCAGGCGAGACTACCGAGGCCTATGAGGCCCGCATGCTGGACATGGTAGCAGAGTTCAAGCAACAGGCAGCTGCGGCAACATCCGCACGTAAGAAGGAAGATGAGGACGCAGAGGAACAGCGTCGCCTCGCTGAACAGCAGCGACAGGAGGACGCTGAGGCAGCAAGGAAGGCCGCAGACGAACGTCGTCGACTACGCCGAGACAAAATCCTCGAATGCGAGGGGGACATCGAGGCCGGCGAATGGGCAGTGGCTGCTGAAGAGGAGGGTGCCCCCCGCTGTGTGTGGCCTTGCAACCGCAATCGAACATGTGAGCGACTTGGTCGCCACCTGTGCAGCACAGCAAGAGGACATCCTCTGCGTGGACACCCTGGTCCGGAAGCAGGCTCAAATTATCGACGAACTGCTTGACCGGGTACGCCGGCTGGAACAGCAGCCTACAACAGCCACCCCCGCCGAACCCTCCAACTTGACGGACGCGTCAACGTTTTGGAAATCGACGTCGAGACTCTCAAGGACGACACTCTAGCGACAAACCAGCGGATTGACCAGCAGATTTGTGCCGCCACCGCGAGTCCGACCGCGGCCACTCGCGAGAGCATCCCAAAGTTTGACGGCCTGCCGATCTTCTGCGATGCAACGAACACGGACCCGATCCCATGGTGGCGGCAGTTCGAGTTGAAGTTGGACATTCACCACGTCATCAACCCGAACCGGCACGCATACTTATACTCCCGCTCAGGGGGCGTGTGCCAGGCATGGCTGGACAACATGTTGTTCACGCACAACGTCGCAGTCTCCGAGCTGCATACGAAGATCAGGTGGGCTGATCTCAAGGCAGCATGGCATAAGCGGCTCCAAGTGGAGCCGCCCGAGCTTCAGGCAGCCGAGAAACTTCAACGGTTCGATCAGAACGACCTGCCAAGCGCGGACTGGATAATCGAGTACCAACGCTTGGCATCCACGCCCAACTTGCCGTCGACATTTGTCGCTATCAAGCACTTCTTCATCAGGAGTTGCTGTCCGGCGCTGCAGAACGCCTTGACGCGAGTTGCGGAGACGCTCATCACAAGTGAGCAGCTTTTTGATAAAGCCTCGCAGATCATCGTGACGAACATCGAAGCCAAGAATTTAGGCCATTCGTCCGCTGCAGGCCAGGGAAGAGGTCAACATCGGCCGAAAGTGGCCGTGGTCGCAGCAACTAGAGCGACCGATCCTTCAAACGAGGTTGCCTCTTCTGATGAAGGAGACAGATTGGCAACTGCCCGGGATGGTGGCCGCCCCGCCAGAGGGCGAGGACGCGGCAAACCGAAGACACACACCAATTCATCCCCCGGGGCCGGACCAGCGGCTCAAGAGCCTTGGACACATTATGTATCTCGGAAGGCGTGTACCGCATCCGTACTAAGTACCGATACTGCTTGTGCAACAGCGCGGCACTCGGCACTGCAACGTGCCCCACGCAAGTTGAAGGCAAATTTCCTTCAGGAAAGTGAGCACCGCCAAGAGTGATTCGGCTGCACTCTCGGCGCCTTCGGAATCGGTTGCTTCGCGAGCGACCTCTCTTTATTCCGAGGCACATGCGGAAGTCGACAGTCCTCGCTTGTATTCTTATGAGGACTATGCTGCCCGACTCGTTCCTTCGCTGGGTTTCAAGCTCAAGGACAAGATGTGTGTGCGGCTTCTTCTCCGTTTGACAACAACAACAATGAGTCGTCTTCAAGTGGTTCTTCAAGGGATTCGACGCACGAGTTCAACATAGAGGTCTTGGACCCGTTAACATCTGAGGATTTGCATGGCTTCCTCTCCCTTCCACAGGCTGCTTGTCGGGACCGCAATGCGCAGCACTATGCGCCCGTCTCCACACATACTTAGCCTTCTATGCACCACCACCTTCGCCGGCCGATGACAAAGCTGCGGTGGGGGACATCCTTGCGTATGTTACCAAGGTGGCCCGCGAGTTTCGCATGCAGCGGTACGATGATAACAACGCACCGCTCCTTTATGTCTGCATCCAAGTTGGGCAAGCGTCCTGCAGCGCTTTGCTAGATAGCGGTGCGACTCGCAATTTCATCAACCAATCCTTTATCCAAAGGGCCGGCCTTGGCGCACAAGTTCGAAGGAAGCCAAACCCGACGGCGATCAAGTTGGCGGACGGTCGGACACAACAACTCCTCGGTCGCTACATTGAAGCTGTGCCGGTTTATTTCGCACCTCATGCATGCGAACTGGTGACATCTGACATCTTAGACACGGACTTCGACATTATTTTGGGGATGCCTTGGCTTGCAAGTGCGGATCACACGGTCAACTTCCATCAGCGGACACTTACCGTTCGCGACGCCTTCGGCGCCGAAGTACCGTGCACTATTCCCTCGTCCGCACCCTTGGATTCGGTGCCAAGTGGTGACGGCCAAGTCATTCTGAGCTACTTGAGCTTACGAGCAGCCCGAAGAAATCGACCTATGTTTCCTATGGACCGTCGCGGTAGCCGACTCTTCACCAACGGACTTGTCTTTGGACCCCCGTGTGGTGCGGTTGCTTCACGAGTTCACCGACATCTCGAATCACCTACCGGTGTGGTGCCGGATCGGCCGATCTGTCACGAGATCATTGTTGAGGCCGGTGCCATGCCACCAAAAGGCTGCATTTACCGCAGCTACGGCAACTGGCCAACCGAGTACTTGGTACACTTTGCGTACTGCAGTCACAAAGCTGACCGTTGGCTGACCCGTGCGGAACTGCTCCGGATGTTCTCGCACGCTACGAACGCAAGATGCAAGGCAAGCCGGTATCTTCGGCTCCACGTCGCACCCGCATCCACGTTCCACCTTCAGATCGTCAGCTTCGCCCTCGCCCCGACTTGACTTCATAAGGAGGGGGGGGTGTTACATGCTGCGCCTGCAACAGGCTGCACAGGCCCGTGTTGTTTTCACCTGAAAGCCTGAAAACAAGGGCCTACAGGCCCCGTGTTGTTTTCAGCCTGAAAGCCTGAAAACAAGTGCCTACAGGCCCCGTGTTGTTTTCAGCCTGAAAGCCTGAAAACAAGGGCCTCCAGGCCCTGTGTCGTTTCAGGGTAAATCAGGGCCTTTCCGGCCCTGAGTCTTTTCAGCCTGAAACTGAGGGCCATTTTCAGGCCCTCATAAGATCGACCTGCCCTGAAACTCAGGCACCAGACCAGGGTTTTAGCTCAGGCCATTTTTGGCCTATTTTCAAGACAACCTTCGTTTGAGCTTCAACCCCAGGGTCTGGCACGTTTTGGCATTGGCAAGAGCAGCCTCCTGGACAGGCCAGCACTATATAAGACTGGCCCGCCCTGCAGGCTGCAGGTAGTTGCTAGGTAGTTCCTAGGTAGTTCCTAGGTACTTCCCAGGCACTTCACGTGCAGTTCAGGAGGCAGGAGGTAGTCTCCAGGATTCCGCAGCAGTGCGGCAGTAGTAGTTGTAGCGCTAGCAGTAGTCTTCAGCGCTGGGCGCTAGTAGCATTAGCAGTAGTCTTCAGCGCTGGGCGCCATAGGAGCTAGAGCAGTACTAGAGAGAGAGAGAGATTGGGCGGGCGCCAGGGAGACTTACCTGCAGCGCCGTTGCTCCAGCTTCATCTTCGAGGTACCTGCAGCACAGCGCCATCTTCACAGGTTAGTACCTGGCACGTGAGAGAGAGAGAGAGAGAGAGAGAGA